AATATTGTCATCACCGATCGTCGATCTGAATCATCGCATAGGCGTCACGATGACATGAGGGGAAGGGATGATCACGCAGGAGCAAGTCGTATGCGTTGCGAGAAGAGAAGGAGAAAGGCAGTATTGGCAAAGAGGACTTGAACAGATCGAGGCACGCTTCAGCTCCTCGAATTGATCGTGTGGTGACGACTTCCACTATTCCTTTTGGAACGAAGGAGTCCTTTGGTGATGCTGCGCGGGCGGCGTCGCATTTGTCCCAGATTGTCTTTCCAGGCACGGAGTTTCCCTCTCCAGGAGAGATGTCGAAGAAGAGACCTTACTCAAGCATGGCCTTCGATTGTATAACGGTACGACTTCGTGGCAACTCTCGTGAGATAGTGATTTGCCTTTTCCTTCTTCCTGATCTTGTAACTTGTTTTCCGTGATCTGTTCCTTGGTTTGACAGTTTCTTTCTTCGCTTAACAAGCTCGCGATTGACTATGAGGTGACCGTGCGCTCGCTGACTCGTCAGCTTGCAAATGTTCATAAGGCTTGTGACGATCATAAGAAGCAGAAAAGGGATGTAGAGGATCGCGTTGCTACTCTCCAAGCTGCTATGAAAGAAACCGAGGATAGGCGTCGCAAGATGGATGGGACGTTCACGGAGTCTGAATCCGAGAGGAAGCGTCTTCAGAAGGAAGTCTGTGACCTTACCACCCGATTAGATATTNCTGCCAAGCTTCAAGATACGGCTGTGCAGCGGGCTGTAGAAGAAGCAAGGCGCGAGCTGGTGGCAAGGTACGAGGCGAAGATCGATCGCGCCAAAGAGAAGATCAAAATGATCAATGACCAGCCGAGGATTGATATAATTGATCTTGCTGAAGTCCGGAGTAACATTGAGTTCATAAAGTTGCTTCAGAGTGACAAGGCGCCTGATCTCGGTGAAGAGCTCGTTGACCTTATGAAGCAGGAGGCAGACCTATCGCTCGCGGATGGGGTATTTGCTAAGCATGTGCGCGAACTTGGAGGGATCCTTACGGATTCGCCGCTGGCACGACTGATGATCGAGTTGTGGATTCGAACGCTGATACCGTTGAAGAGGTGGCTGACTCANATTCGAGTTCTTCGAGTTCGTCAAGCGATGATAACTCGTCGGACTCTGCGGCGNNNATTCCTTCTGAGCAAGCCGTTGAGATTGTCGATGACGTTGAGGAGATCGAGCCTTAGCTGATTTTTATTTTAGCACTTTGTCGTACTTTTAATTTCAAACTTAGCATATGATTCAACTTGGATGGTGTTCATCCTTTTGTTCAGAGTTATCATCATTTTTGTC